CCTACCCATAACAAATTTGGAAAAATAAGTAACGATTCACCTTGTTACAGTATTCAAGAAAGAGAAGGTAGTTTAAAACACAGTGACGGAATTAGAAATAAATTAACAATCAATTAGGTAATAATAATTAAGTATATTAAACCAACGAAACTTGATTAACAAACTACAATTAATTGTGATGATCATTTTGTTGTTCATAATTAATAATTAAAATAAGAAAATACCATAAGCAGAATTACTTGAGTATTCTGAATTACAACAAAGAACTATAAATAATATAAATAACTCACAGATTCTGTATCGATGATAAGTTGACTCGTGATAGGGACCATGATATCATTTTTACACTTTTAATTTATTATTTATTAAAGAAAACATTAAACTAATAATTAATTGGACTATTTAACTAACTGTGACATATTATTTAACAATTCGAAACCATAAAAGAATTAAACTGTAACTAAACTAGAACTGATTCTGAATATATTACATTTTACTAAAAACTAGAGAAATTAACTAACGATGTTAACACACGGGATCGATGACAAGTAGAGAGAGATTCAAAAAGGTTTTGCAGAATTATTTTAAAATGAAATTAATACTGAATTTTGGCGTTAGGTGACTTATAGGTATTCTCGATATTTTCATACAAAAAGGGGGTTTTCTCCTACCTTGCTTTTCCCAGAATTCTGAATTACTAATACTATAATACTTAAACTAAAACGACTTATCCTATGGCAAGATTGCGACCTTCTTGACCATAAGAACCTGTCAATTAACCTAAAAGGAGAGCTTCTTTGCCAAACGAAGTCGCTTTCGTTTGACAAAGCCTGCCAACACACTAAAACTAAACTAATTTATCAAAATGCCTTAATGTGGAGCGCCAACATTTCAATTGGACTTCTGCTAAGTGTAGAATAATTACTTAAACAAATACTAAAACAGACACTGTAACAAGTTTACTTTAACAAAGACAATTAATATTACCAAAATTGAAATACTAGAAAAATGTTCTCAGATTAGTGCTATTGTGACGTAAATCGTAAAAATAACGTCACAACTCGCCTCTCAACGGAAAGATTAGTGAAGGGAAAAATATGGGGAAATCTCACCAAATGGGAACTTTTTGTTGTAAAAAAATTTATTTTTCAAATTAGTGGCACATTTTTTTCACCATAAATTATTATTCTTCGACCAAATAGAAGTATATTTTAACAGGCGTAATTCATATTTATTAATTGCTACTTTATTTAAACAATTTTTTTCATATTTATGGTTATGAGTGCAGGTAAAACGTATTTATCTTTAAGAATTTATAATATTTTACAACCCTTCAAAAAACATTTTCCTTTATCTACCTAAACTTACATTTATCAAAAATCTACACGCGATATAGTTCAAATATATTTTTTCTTAAAATGGCACTATAATTGACTAAGTAACATTATCTCGTACAAAAATTATTCAATATCAACCACAAATATTATTTTTAGGTGTGAGGATTTTGCACACATATTTATTAACACCAAACCAAGATATTACACAAAGGTGAATAAATTTTTTTAAATGTGATTTCTTGTACCCGTCAAAAAACCATTTTTGACAACGTGTTACGCACTCGTTGCGCGTTTTCGCAAAACGATTTCGTAGATATTTTAAGTGGCATAATGTTCTACCACCCATAATTCTTTTCCTGAATACCTACAAATATAAATAATATATAGGCGAATTTTAAATAATGATCGCTCAACAAGTATTATAAGAAAATTAATGATTTTCAAAAAAAGGTGAAAATGCAATTACAGTTATAAACAGCTCATTATCTCGAATATTATAATTGGCACACTTGTCTAATTTACCTTTTTCTACTCTTCACAACCTATAGATAAATGAAAAAAAAATCCCAAACATAAAAAAAAATTGCTCAAAAAGTTATCGCTTAATGAAAATTCGATTTTATGCGAGTTTCTTGAATTTTTCTATTTCTACAATTTTAATGAATAAATCAGGTGCATACTTCTTTAATTTTTACTAACAAGAATTTTTTATATCTCATAGTCGCGATATAGTATTAGCAAATGTATAAAAATGTGGGTTAGCAATATGGAAGCTTTTTGTGGCACATATACCTCAGAACCCAATTTGTCCCCATTTCGAGAGATTTACCCATATACGTGAATAAATATCCTCTAAAATCGGGACACCAACTATTCTGAACTCTAAACTGTTATTGACATAACAAGGAATATAAATGATACTCTACTATGAGAAACTAAATTGCACAAGGTGCACTCCCGATACCGAGCTAACGCTCTGGAGGTTTAGCAAAAGGAACTACTCTAAATTGACTACTAAGGTTCAAATAGTAATGAAAATTGGGGGTTGGAAGTGTCGGTTCACATAAGACCACACAACTTTTAAATCGAATACCAAGTACTTCATCTCAGGGACTAGAATCTAATTATACAAACAGTATAATAGCGATGGATGCTGTATCAACAATGGTCGTGAGGGCATAGGGCCGAATTATTAGTGAAAGTAGAAGCAATAATATGATGAAAGTTTTAGTGAATTGAGTGAATTAAGTAAAGTATTGAAAATTATTTTATTTTATTATGAAGTTGGGACTCAAAGTAGGTACGTCCTAAGGTAACAGAATCCAAGTCTGCGGGACAGAAAATTATGAGTATGGAGGCGTTGCTTCAGATTGAGAAGGAAAATTCTCAAGTTTGTTTATAATGAGGGTAGTGAAAATTATGAAAAATATTACGAAACAAATTGTGTTTAAAAATGTTGCAAAGATTCGCTTTTGAATTAATGCACTTGTACTTTAATGCAAGTAAAACGAAAACAAATTGCGTCCAGAAATGTTACAAAGATTTGCTTTTAAACTAGAGAACTTGTATTTTAACGCAAGTAAAACAGTGAGAGTTCAAACGCCTTGTCACCAAATTTTCGAAACAGATAAAATTTTTTTTTTATTTGACATTTTTGTTTTAGATTTAATTGTTGCCTGAGACAATAGAAAAAAAAATTATAATTGTTACAAAAAGAAAGTTATCGTAGAAATCATGGGATCCTAGGGGCTGTCCATAAATTACGTAAGACATTTTTTGAGTAAATTTGACCCCCCTCCCCCCTGGTAAGATATTTTACATACATAAACGCCATTTTTCCTATTGTTCATAAGATCTTGCTGACTCCCATTCCCCCAAAATGTCTTACGTAATTTATGGACGGCCCCCTATCACGAGTCATTACAATGTGGATTTAACTCAAGTTACAATTCTCAGAGTCAGGAAAAAATTTGTAACACAGGGAGTTAAATGACATAGTGAATAAACGGTAAATATGAAATAGAGTGAAAAATGAGTAATTATAAATTAAGATCAAGTGAATCGCAAGTGAAGGCAAATATAATTAAATATTAAGTGAAAATAAGTGAAAAATTAGTAAAAAATTCAAGTAAATTATAAGTGAAAAATGAGTGAAAAATTCAAGTGAATTATAAGTATAGTATAGTTTCGTCGGCCACACACTTGGCAGAACCTTACCCTTTTATGAAGGCAGGTGCTGAAAAGGTGACCTCCGCTGTGGCAGTTCCAGCACAGTTGTTGCGGTCGTCGAGCTAATACTCGGCCTTGAGCTGGTTCTGGTTCTGGTGTTCGGCCTAGAGTTGGTTCTGGGTCTGGTACTCGGCCTATAGCTGGTTCTGGGCCTGATACTCGGCCTATAGCTGGTTCTGGGCCTCGTGCTCGGCTTGGAGCTGGTTCTCGTGATGGGTCTGGAACTGGTTCCCCTCTGTCGTTCAGGAAGCACGTAGGTTCGGGTGGTCGGCTGTAGCCCGTTTTCCTTGGCTTCGCATACGGCTTCCTCCAGCATTTGCGTCTCCTGGGTCGGATGTACCTCTCCGATTGGTGACTTAAGGAGTCATTTTCCTTACTTGGGAGCGTCCGGGAATAGGTTCCATCTGCGTGGGTGGTGCGAGCTCCGTCGTCTGTGTTCCGTTTTCCTTCGTAATGGGCCCCGTTTGGTTCGCTTAATCTATCCTTGACGGTCCTGCTAGCGGCCAATCCTGGACTTCGCTCGGTAGGGCAATTCTCTCTTTCAGATTCGTCCTCCATCGGATAGGACACTCCTTGTTGTTCTTGTGGCTGCATCTGAGCACCATTTCTTGAAGCGACTGGAACAATCGTGGCCTGTACTGTTCCAAACATGCCAGGGCGGGCCGGAACGGTCTGATTGGATCCCAGAATGGATCCTCTTCCAACCTTACTTCCACATCTTGAGGTGGGCCTGGAATATCACCTGGTCCGTCGGCGTTGGGCTCCGGTAGATTTCATGGTGGTGGGGTTGGAATTCGTGGTGCTTCTTCGTATTGGTCCTGGGGTGGTGCGGCTGCTTCCTGCATCTCTTCCTCCATTGGCCAATCTTCATTCTCCATTTCTCTTCCTATGTTCGGATCCTCGACTATTTCGACACTGGAACTGGATGAGTTTGGTGAGGATGGTCAATGCTCTTCGCCCTCCTCGTCATCTAGCATGTAGTCATCGAGACTACCCACCATTGACTGGTCGTCCTCCGAGTCGGAGATCTGAAGGATCTCCATTTCGTCTACTGGACACGTGGTGTCAGGCGAAGGATACTCCATCGTCAGTCTGTAACGTTCTTTTATTGTAATAATCGAATAAGAATAAAATATCCACCACCTGGACGGTAACAAGATGATTTCACTGTATCATTTACTAACAAACTGTAACCCTGTTAGAAATACTGGAACACTAGATTATACTGTAACTTATTCTGAATATTAAACCAAAATACAACATTCGGAGTTGGTGTACAGGAACACAAGAAACACAAATATAGACAAAGACAAACGTTGAAACTCGATGTTGAACATACTGAGTCGTGAGGAATACTGTAACGTCAATTATGTAAGACATTTTAAATTCTGTAACGATCTTTGTTAAGTACTGTAACTACTTTACTAATTTAGGTTAGTTTAAATCGCCGATTTCATATCGCTGATCGCGTTGCTTGCAGTTGTAGTAGTGTGATTGTTTCTGGAAGGCACTGTCTAGAGCGTGGACTATACTATTACGCAATTCGTTCAACTGTTGCATCCGTTTTGACCAAGCTAAAGAAGATTGATGGACCATGTCCATATCTCTTTCTAGTTCTCGGCGTAGGGATATCGCGGATGTAGGTTCGCGACCGAAGTTAAGGAAAGCTAGTATACTTTGGATCGACGTGTGATACGCTGTATTATGTGCAAAACGGAATTCTGGGAGGTGTAAGTCCCATTCTCGGTGGCTTCTCTCTATAAAAGCAATTATCATGGTTCGTACTACGCGATTTACTCGCTCAACAGGATCGGCCTGAGGTCGATAAGGTGGGGTGGTCATGTGACGAAATCCTATTTTTGTCGCTAGGGCTTTCATGTTATTGTTAATGAATTCAGTACCGTTATCTGTAAGCAAAACTTTAGGTGATCCCCAACGGTTTATGACTAAATCCTGTAGCGCTGTCGATGTCGTTAAACTTGTAGCTTTTCTTAAGGGCTGTATCTCTATCCATTTAGTATACAAGTTTTGAATAATGAGAATGTACACGTTACCTCTGGAGCTCGGAGTTAAAGGTCCCATAATGTCTGTAGCTACTATTGTCCAAGGCTCCTCAACAGTTTTTTTTACCATAAAACCAGCAGGTCGGATTTGTTCGACTTTGGTGCGATGACAAATTTCACAGTGTCGGACAAAAGAAACTACATCCTTGAACATACTTGGCCAATAGTACTGTGTGGCGATTCTGCGATGAGTCTTTTCTACACGAAGGTGTCCTGATTGTGGAGTTGAGTGGTTTTCCTGTAGGGCTTTTAGGCGACGTTCCCTATAGAGCCCTAACTTCCAGGCGTTTAGGTCTGTAACTTCAGTTTCTGGGAAATCAGCTGGCTTGTGGTAGTAAAGTCGATTATCTTCGATTTTCCAGTTTGGAAACCTGCCCGGATGCTGTTCGACTTTCTGTAGACGCTTCAAGTACCATCGGTCTTCTATCACTTCGATTTGGTTGACCTGATCCGACATTTGTTCAGGTATGCGTGATAAAGCGTCTGGAACATTTTGGAGTACTCCTTTTCTATGGATGATGGTCAGGTCGTAATCCAGGAGTTCAAGAGCCCATCTGGCGAGTCGGCCTGTTGTATTTTTTAGGTTATGTAACCAACGTAAACTGCTGTGATCCGTTATTACTGTAAATGATTATCAATCTAGGTAACAACGGAATTTTTTAACGGACCAAACCACTGCAAGACATTCCAATTCTGTGACTGTGTAGTTTTTTTCCGCGCTTGAAGGCTCTATGATATCTTGTCTTAGCCATTCATCCGTTTCTTTCCACAATGCTTCAAGTTTTATTGGTGTCATCGCATAAGCCTTTTTTGCACTTAATAACTGTAATCCATTGCAAACTGTAACACGATCTGTAGAACTTTCTGGAGTGAATGTGAACGTAGAGTTCAGGTAATCTCTATAGTACCAACTTTTTGCGGCAAAACCGACTATCAAACCGGCTTGTATAAGAAAATCTAACCCTAGTATACACGGATGTGATAGGACTGTCATTATTAAAAGACTAACTTGAAAATTTCGGTTTTTTAATTTTATTTCGATGTCGATTGCATATTCGATACGAAGGTTATTACCATTCGCGACTGTAACTCTACGAGCAAGAATTGGTTTCGCGGTTAATCCCATATTTTTTATTAATTCAATCCCTGTTTGACCAAGGAATGATTTACTAGCCCCAGAATCGAGTAGAGCCCTAATCTCACGTCCTGCAAGGGTGAAGTCAACACAGAATGCTACTTGTCTTTTGTTTGAGACCGAATTCGCAAAATCGATTATTTCTGTGTCATTCTGTAACTTTAAGCACTGGTCAAAAGGTAGGTTTTTTATGTTCTGTAACTGATTTTCCGACATTATATCTGAAAGCGATACACTTGTCGGGATAGTGTTCACTATTGAGAGTTTACCTTATTACAATGAGGGCAATCTCGTTTGGTAACACCTGAGCCTCGACAGCGGTAACAGAATCTACGTTTAGGTTCTGGACATAATCTGTGACGGTGACCAGTTTTGTCGCAATTCCAACATCTAAATTCAGTATCTTGTTGCAGGTAACTTAGAAAAATCACTTGTTTGTTGTTGATTATGTCGTTGTAGTAACAGAGAGTCTAATATGTCACTGGATACATCACTGTAACTTTCGGCATTGTTCTGTAACGGTACGCTATGATCAACTACAGCATGTAACTGATCGGTTTTAGAAAAGTGCTGTAATGGTCGGGGTGGTTGGTCATGTGCCTTATGAGGGCCTGAGTACGCAAACGCTGGACACAGAGTTTTCTGGTAGTGGTGGGGGGCGATATTGGTTTATACTTTGAAATGTTCTTTCTTGGCGTGACGCGTAAGCTTCTAAATCGTCCATAGTTAGGTTTCTGTACAATGGGATCACTAATTTGAATGCCGGTAACATATTTCTATGAGCATAGCGGATGCATTCCCGTTCTAAACATAATGGGTCTGCTCGGGCAAAAAGACCATTCATACATGCAAGATAATCACAAACTGGTTCGTTGTTTGCCAGCGTACGATTAGAAATTTCTTCGCACAAAGCTAACTGATAATCTGGTTCTGCATATCTGGAGCGAAGGGCAATCTTAACGTCTTGCTATGTTCTAAAATAATTGACGCGACCTCTATACCATGTCAAAGCTGCATCTTTTAGCGTGAATGAAATTGCTTTTAATAAATCTGCTTCACGCATAACTAACAAGTCTCGACCTTCATCTATACGGTTTATATAATTTTCAACATCTTCTCCACGAGCACCACTAAATTGTAAATTCCAGCGGTGTAGTGTTTGTAACAACAAATGAGGGCTCAATGGAGTCAGAGTATTTATTGTTGTTGCTGGAATATTAAAAGTATCAAATTGGTAGTCCCGGGGATTAGAAATGATTCTACGTCTGTAAGCATTACGCGTTTCTCTAATATTGTTTGAGCGAGAATAATGGCCGCGAGAGGTATTAACATTTTCGAAATTGAACTCTCCATTTACACGAGGTTGTGTTTCAAGCTCACTGAACTACCTTCTCAAAAATATTAACTTGTGCGCCCCACGTTGGGCGCCAAATTGTAACGCTTTTTTCTACACTAATATCCCTGACGGATGGGTGAACTACGAAAATACGACGAATTCGTCGTTACTTCGTCGTCACTTCGTATTTCGTTAGAAAATTTCGATAATTAGGTAAAAACAGTTAAAGAAAACTATTGAAATTAATAAAGTAATATCCCAGGATTACATTTATCTATTTTTTAGGATAAATTAACGTTAAATTATTGAGAAATTAATGTTTAAAGTAGAAAATGTCAGTTTTAGTGTAGGATGTATGTGTGTAAGATCGATATTAGAATAAAATGTTGATATGTTACCACGCATTTTGCGCGACAGATGGCGGAGGTGACATTTGTCCATGTCTTCAAATTACATGCTTTATTACAAAAAAATAAAAAAGGGAAACATAATTTTTATTCTGTAAAATATAACAATATAATTCTAGAAATTGTATATTGAAATTAACCTTTTTTAATTAAATAAATTACAAACACAATTATTAGTATATTTAATAGAATATAAAAAATAAAAAAGCAGAAAATAAATAATTATACTAAGAAAAATAAAATAGGCCATTTTTTCCCGTTTTTCTAAAGTTATAAGAAAATTGACTTTTTTGACCAATTAAAATGAGATTCTAACTCCTCCTACTTTATGAAAGCAATTTTTTTAGCCGTTGGTTCAACATTACAAAAAGGGAGTGAATATTTAATTTTTCAAAGGTTACATTTAGTATTAACCAATTAAGAAAAAAAGACTTCTGTCCAATAAAAATAAACTCCTATTTTTAAATTGCAATATTTTATTTATTAGTTGATTTAAACAAAATGGAAAAAAAATTAATATTTGAAAAATAAAACATATAATACCAACCCCCAAAGAAAAAATGAATGATTTAGACCAACAAAAATAGTAAACAAACTCGTCCCATTTTCAAAATCAATTTTTCTATTTGTTGGTTGAGTTAAACAAAATAGAGAAAAAATTAATATTTAAAAAATAAATCACAAAATTTCAACCCTCAAAAGGAAAAATGGATAATTTAGACCAATTAAAATAAAATTTAAACTCCTCCTTCTTAAAGAAACTTATTTTTTATTTGTGCCTTCAATAGAACAAAATGGAGAAAATATTAATATTTAAAAAATATAAAATTTAGTCCCAACCCCCAAAAGGAAAAATGGATGTTTAAGACCAATTAAATTAAATTTTAAACTCCTCCCTCTTAATAAAAGCAATTTTTTATTCGTGGATTCAATAGAACAAAATGGAGAAAATATTAATATTTAAAAAATATATATAATTTAGTCCCAACCTCTTACGAAAAAATAGACTGCTATTAGCCAATAAAAAAGATTTAAACTCCTCCTATTTTTAAAATCAACTTCTCTATTTGTTGGTTAAGTTAAACAAAGTGAAGAAAATAATTAATATTTGAAAAATAAAACGTATAATTCCAACCCCTAAAAGAAAAAATAAAGTCTTTTGAACAATATAAAATTAACTTGAAACTCCTCTTATTTTTTCGGAAAGGGTTGTGGTTAAATTTTATATTTTTAAAATTATAAATATTCTTCCATTTTGTTTAACTTAACCAGGAAATAGAAAAGTTGATTTTGAACAAAGGAGGAGTTTGAATTTTTTTTATTGGCTAATAGCAGTCTATTTTTTTGTGAGGGGTTGGGACTTTGTTAATTAAAAGTTCTATAGACACAACTTTTTTTGTAGAGAGTTATGAATTTTTAACTTTCAATGATTCGAGCGTATATCCAGATGCAATAATTGTCGATGAGGATTTTGAAAGTAATTTCGAAGTTTTTGAAAAGGGGAACAAGAAACTAAAAATAGATGTTGATGTTGACAGTGATTATAAAAAGAAATCAGTTGAGTATTGGCGTGGAGGAAAGAAAATGTGTAGAACTTTTGCGACAGTTCAGAATAGATTTAAAAAGGTTCAAAGTGTTCAGTCTTTATATAGGTGGGAGGAACAAATTAAAGAAGGTGGAACGCGATCTGAAAAACTGCTTAAAATTTCTGAATATGTATTGAAACAATGTAAGAATGCTTTTGATAAATCGGTTCCTGTGCATGATTTGGATTTAAAAATATGGGCTTTAGAGTCGAGAGCAAATGTTAATTTATCTCGCCATCTTTTCACTGCTTCTACAAAATGGATCCATAATTTTAAAATAAATCACGGAATTGTCTCAAGAAAAATTAATAAATTTATAACTAAAAAACAAATTCAGACAAAAGACGAATTGACTAAAAAATCTGCTGATTATGTTTTAAATGTCAAGTCAAAAATGATAACTATAAGACAGAAAAATGTTTACAATTCAGATCAATCGGGATTCAATTTAGAGACTCATACTGGTCGCACCTTATCATTTAAAGGTGCTTTAAAAGTCGAATGCCTAGCGCAGTCTCTAAATTCATTAACGCACAGTTATACCATTCAACCGATTATTTCAGCAAGTAGAGAGTTAAAATCTCCTTTGATGATAGTTTTACAGGAGCCACAAGGTAAGTTTGGACCAATTGTAGAGAAAACCATCTATAAAGCAGAAAATATTATTACTTTTGCCACAAAATCTGGTAAATTGACTTCAGAAATTGCAAAAAAATGGTACAAAGATGTGTTTCTGACAAATACTAACCAAGGAGAATCTTTACTTCTTTTAGATTCCTGAACAGGTCATAAAGATACCAAATTCGATGACATCGACAAAGGTCAAAAGTCTGTTGAAATTTTAACAATTCCTGCTGGTACAACAGGATTTATACAGCCACTCGATGTGTACACTTTTAGGCCGTGGAAAAATTTTTTAAAACAATTTTCTGACATTGTTATTTCATACGATTACGATGTTAATCTACATTTAAGAAATAATATTTTGAAAATTCAATCTTTGATTCACAATCAATTTTCTTCTCCACGATTTGTAAATATTTTTAAATATGCTTGGTGGAAAAGTGGCTATATTAATAACAAGCCAGAAAAAAGTCAGACTCCAGTTGAGTTCTGTTTTAATAGCTGCAATACAAATTGCGATTTTTGCGATGATATCGCAATAATTAAATGTGGTTGGTGCACAAAATCTATGTGCATAAAACACTTTTTCGCAATTCTCCCCAACGATTCTCCTCATTATTGTAAGGAATATGTAATAGCATAGCTAAATAATTTCAAATTTTTTTAATTAAAAAATTATAATATATAATCAAAAAACAAGAAAAAAAACAAGAAAAACAAAAAAAAACAAACAAAAATGAGGTCTATAATAGTACTGCAACCTTCTCGTGGTAGACCTTGGAAACTACTATTCTAGTAGGCTAATTGCAGGAAATCAAATTTTTATTTAAAAAATCTGACTGCGGATTTATAATTAGCAACCTCAGAAAACCCCGGGTAAAAAGTTTCAAGCAAATTCAATCAACTTTTTAAAAATAATTCGCCATATTGGATCCGCCATTTTAAATTTTGAAAAACTAACCACGGATTCGTAATCAGTGACCTCAGAAACCCCCGAGTAATGAGTTTCGAGCAAATTCAATCAACTTTTTAAAAATAATTAGCCATATTGGATCCGCCATTTTGAATTTTGAAAAACTAAACGCGGATTCGTAATCAGCGACCCCAAAAACCCCCGAGTAAAAAGTTTCAGGCAATTTTAAATATATCTAAACCTTCAGTTACATATTTAAATCGCCTGGTAAACATAATGCACATATTCAAGGGGTGGGGAGTAGTTTTTACCCCTAAAAAGCTTTTTCAGCCGATATAAAAAAATACGTTTCAAATATTTATCGATATAGAATAAGCATACCAAGTTTCAAGAGAATCGGTGATTAACAGTTGGGTAGTTTTACTTGTTAGTATAATTATTTATTATCTGCTTTTTTATTTATTATATTCTATTCTATTAAATATACTAATAATTGTGTTTGGAATTGATTAAATTAAAAAAAGGTTAATTTCAATATACAATTTCTAGAATTATATTGTTATATTTTACAGAATAAAAATTATGTTTCCTTTTTTAATTTTTCTGTAATAAAGCATGTAATTTGAAGACATGGACAAATGTC